TGTCCTATTATAATCATGCTTACTTACATATATAAACTTACAAAATATAAGATAAACAAATACATATAAGAATTAAGCATTATGAAACAAGACTACTTTTCATAAAGAACAAGTCAACCTGTCATCTAAACGATCACATCATTGTTAAAAACCATGATGTGACCTCAAATTCAAAGGTGACTGTCATGATCTACCTAAAAATTTGCCCAATGACCACCTCGATAGAATGCCAAATCATTCCATTTATTCCAATTACTTTCTAATATCTTACAGCCAACATCTTTAACACCCACTTCAGTGCGTTTACTATGTGACTTAGCTTTTTTATCTTTACCGCTAATACCGCATCGCTTTTCTTCCTTTATTTGTAACTCATTCCTTGGTTCCCAAATAAGCACTTTGAATTCTAATAAAGCTCTCCCAGTTATTTGTTTCAGTACCTTATACAACAATTTTTCTTCAGTTATTTATAGCACCTTAATAATTCTATTAACTGACAACTGACTTGATTCTTCATTAAAAATGTAAAATCATATAAACATCCAATATCCCACATACCTAGCTCATTAATTTTACCTTTTAATTCTTGTACTACACGTTATAAATAACGTGCATGTATGATTCTTTCTTTATTAAAAAAGCTGTATGTACATACTATCGGATACAGAATGATGAAATAAACAAAAACAAAATTTTCTAAATAATTCGATAAAACTGTGGGAAGTCTATATATTTTTCTTTCAAATAAAATTTGCCATATGTAAATATAATCAAATATGGAATGATGTAAAACTAAAAATAAATTCAATAGACAAAACTGACTATATAAATAATATAATCTAATTATCACCATATAATCTATTTATTTTCATGTATCAGGTATCTTTTTTATACTCTAGCTATTCTTTTAAATCTTTCTTGCTATCTGTATTTTTTTACCACCATAAAATCTAACTACCACCCACTATTTAACCTAATTATTATTATATAATCTAAATACTACGCTTTTCTTCTTATTTCTGAGTCGTTTACATGCTAAATTCTATAATGGAGTTGTTAGTTCTCTGTAACTGTTTAGATATCTGGTTTTATGTTGAGAATGCTGACTTTCTGCACCTAGTTGGGTGCTGGATTCTATATTGGAGTGCTTACTAAGGTTGCTTGCCGAAACCTGTTTGGCCTAATGCTGAAAGGTGAAACCTCTTATATAGTGCCGAAACGCCGAAACGCCGAAACTGCGAAACTTGTCAAAATTGCGAAACTGCCAAAACATGCCGAAACCTCTATAATAGGTTTCTCCATAGTTTTGGCATAGTTGATCATAAGATTTGCATATTGTTACGCCAAGTTACACCAATTAATAATATAATTTAGATGATCAAATAATCTGCAGATAAAAGATTAAACTTCAATATTTTACCGTCGTCTTAGTTCTTTTAAGCTTTATCTAGTATTAGAATTTTCATTTCTAACTCCCATATTAATATTATGATATTACACGTTTTTACAGTTTTTTTTTAAGGGGCTTATAT